AGATCGAGGATCTCCATACTTTGGTCAGTGAGAACAGAGCAGACCAAGCTTGAGCTTTTCTACACTCGATGTCATGAGCTGTGTTAGTGTAGGAGCCCAGATACTTGAAGTCATCAAATTTATCGAGCTTACTGCCATCCAGTGCAGTCACATCGTCAGAGGTAGATGGGTTGATGACCTTGTACTTAGTCGATGTGATAGGAATAATACTTCCAAAGTCTTGGAATGGACCGGGCACTAAAAGACAAGTTAAAAATCACAGTAAAAATTCTTAAAAGCCGACTCGAACATGATTTAAAAACCTTTGCAGAAATTCCATCTGGCCAAGCGGCCTTGGAAGTATTTAGTTTTAGAAAGTGACGACGCACATCTTGTTCAGAAACAATCAACTCATAAGGATCGGAATGATTTTGTAGTATTTCATGAAGGTTTTTTACTTGAGCATGAAAATCACACTGATCAAAGCGGTCAAAAAATTCATTTAACTGATTTGCATATTCAACTGATGTGTCCGGTAATTGAATATTTATCTTGGATATCCACTCATAAGTCTCACTCCCTCCCAAACATTTTTCATATTACATGTATTCTGTGTCAAAGTCTGTTCAATTTTATCCTTGTATCTAGCTTTCTCTGCTTTGATGACACGCTTTAGTTCCTTTTGAATTTCCTTTAGTTGTATCCTGTCACCCTGTCCAAGATCTGCTTCTTCCTGTTGATCACATCTTTAACTTCCTTTGTGATCCAGGATTTGTTATTTTGGTAGATTTTGACCTCCTTCGTGGAAATAGCATTTTCGGTAAAAAAGTTAACGTAGCAGCTAACTGCGTCTGTAAGATGCAGTTAGCTGCTATACCACCGTTCCCACAGGTAGAGCCTTGCCCTGGAAGAGGAGTCCCTGGGAGAGATCCTCCTCAACGGGGCCGGGGCAGCAACGCCCCCATGCCGAGCCAAGTAGTCAGCCCATTTGTATGTCCGGGAGCAATGTCCACACTCGCTCTTCATGTGTCGCATTTTCGTGCCTGCGTCTGTAAAATCATAGATGCTGAGCTTCTGCAGCCACCTGGCAAGCTGTCTCTGGGGATCTCAAACACCATACATCCATTTCAAGGGTCTGTGGTCAGTGCGAATTTCGAAGCGAGTCCCATAGAGGTAGTGATGGTACTTCTTCACAAAGTACACTATGGCAAGGATTTCCCTTCTAGTAACACAGTAGTTCCTCACCTGCTTAGTAAAGGCCCTGTTTCCATAGGCAAGGACATGCTCTCCATCCTCCTGTACCTGTGACAACACAGCACCAAAAGCAAACCCACTGGCATCGGTGTTGAGGATGAACTCCCCGACACCGATAGGCAAGTATGGGGGAAGACAGGAGACGGTGATTGAGTGCTTCAAAAGCTCCCTGACATTCCGTTGTCCACTTGAATTGTCTACCTTTCTTGGTGACTTGGTGAAGCCCTCAATAAACCACCGGTAATATGACACCAAGCCAAGAAAGCTTCGAACATCAGCAACAGTAGCTGGTTGAGGCCAGTCCCGCACAGGACGAACCTTTTTGGGCCTTTTCGGGGTCAGTAGCAACCCCCGCAGATGACACCACATGACCGAGGAATTCCTCCTCTCACTGAAGAAGACTGCACTTTTTGGGCTTCAACTTCAAGTTGGCTGCATGAAGCCTCTGCAAGACCAGGCAAAGTCTCTGCATGTGTTCGTCAAACAACCTTCCAAACACAATGACGTAATCGAGGTACAACACAGCCACTTGCCACTGCAATCCCGCAAGGACCTGCTCCATCAAGCGCTCAAAAGTGGAGGGCGCATTGTATAGGCCGAATGGCATGGTCACAAACTGGTACAGTCCGCCTGGCCCTGTGCTGAATGTGGTCTTTGGCTGGTCTTCTCCGGCCACCTCCACCTGCTAGTACCCAGAGGCAAGGTCCAAGGTTGAGAAGAATTGGGACCCTGTAAGTGAATCAAGGTTGTCCTCTATACGCAGAAGTGGATGCGCATCCTTCATCATAACCTCGTTCAGCCTTCGGTAGTCAATGCAAACTCGGACAGACCCATCTTTCTTTCTCAACAGTCAGATCGGTGAACTCCATGACTCTCCAATGGCTCAATGACACCCTGCGAGATCATTTTTGCTATCTCCATGTCCGCAACCTCCCGTTGGGTTAAGGGGGCCCTGCTTGGTCTCTGACGAATTGGTGGGGCTGCCCTGGTCTGGATGTGATGCTGGTCAGACTAGTTCGGCCAATGTCTCCATCCCCGGTAGAAAACACATCACTGAACCTTCTCAGTAATGCTGCAAGTCCAGTTCTCTCAGTAGCCGTAAACCCTTCACAACTACGTTCAAACAATGTGGAAAGATGTGCTGACAGTTTTGTCTACCTTGGAAGTACAATTACTGCAGATGGCAACACTGACGTGGAGATACAACGCTGTCTTTGGTCGCAGGGAGGCATCCTGCAATCAACTAAGTGTAAAGCCTACCATGCAGTTGTTCTTGCCAACCTTCTTTATGCTGATGAAACCCTCACTCTTTACCAGCATCACATTTGGAAACTCAATCAGGTTCAAATCCCTCATCTTCACTTCATTCCAGGCATCTGCTGGCATGACAGAATACCCAACACTGTGATTCTTCAGCATGCAGACCTGCCTTGTGTTACCAAATTACTTGAGATGCAACAGCTCAGATGGTCTGCCATCTTGTGACAATGGATGATTGCAGACTCCAAATAGCTGTGTCATAATGATGCTTTTACAAGATAATCTTTTGGTAAAGTATTTATTACTGGTTTTTAAGGTGGACTGGGTTTTGCACTTTTTGCATAATTTTAAACTTATCTACTGGTTTTCTTTGGGGAATGGGTTTTTCCAATACAGTTTTATTCTCTAAATTGAGAATTTTTTTATGACGTGCAATTGTAATGTTTTGATGTTGTAATTGTGCAATTTCTGTGTCCTAAGGTAGTGTGTTTTAAATATACCTTATATTTGAATAACAGACACACTATTATTCCTTGACTAAGTAATGCAGGCATTGATTCTTTTGTTTTGAAAGCACATAGTGCACATGCAACCTCATCATCAGCAGCAAATAGCCTTGGTATTCACCTTCAGACCATGCTTGCTCAGTTATACAATAAGCCAACATAAAAGGTGCTGCCATTTGTTGTTGGATTTGTAAGCCATTTACACTTATTGAAGTGCATGCAAAATACAACACCCCCACCCTCAGCATCCCCTCCCCAAAACAAAAAGGGGAACAAATGTGCTACATCTTCACTGCCCTACGTTGATATTTTAACATAGTGTGACACAAACTTTGAATTTGTGATCTGCCATGGCATAATGAGGAATAACTCCCATCCTTGACTTTTATATAACATGTAAAAGAGCAACTCTGTAGCTTTCTATTGATACCAAATATATTCCTGTAGGTCAATTAACTCGAAAGATTTGCCGCAAGAAAGTCAGCAGTGTTTCGCAAAACTTCCGCAACCTCATTTCAAGAAAAATGGCTTTCAAAAAGTTATGCGTTGCATGTTGTACATTGCAAGCTTATGTGTGACTTGTCGTACATGCGCATATGGGACGGTTTTGAACATTTAACACTTCCTGAGTGCGTGCGCCACAGGCATGCCCTCACAGATAGGATCAGTGGTAGGATGGCTTTCTATAGGTGCTAGTCACCTGTTCCATCTTGCCACTCACTGGCTTTATCTGTATTCTGGCATAAACTCTTCTCTAACAATCTATTGAAATTGTAAATTCTCTATATTTTTTAATCTGTGATTTTGTATATCTTGTAAATATTTTTTATATCAGCCAGAAGCATCACCCAGATTGACGATAAAATTTGCCACAGAACGCATCTATAACATGGTGACCATTGGCTGACCATTGTGCATCGATTCTGCAACCACGGCAATGCTTGTGCCTCCCTTCTTTCTCATTTGAGCCACATTTGAGCAACCAACCTCCTCAGCAACCTTTGTGCGACTGTTTTGAACGTTTACGGCGAAAAATTTACGGCGACCATGGCGATGTCTGAACATCCTGTGTACCACCTTTGAACGACCTAGGCAACCATTTGGCCTCCTCTGAGCCTCCAACTGCGACCTGGCCAGTTTTATGGTCAAGGGAGGCCCAAAGTTCGCAGCCCGGTGTAATGGGGGTCTTAGTTTTGTAAACTGTTGCAATGATGCGTTGGGGCATTTGCTCCAAGAATTAATGCGAGTGCGGATCACAAATCTTACAGCCTGGGGTCTGAGGCCCGCTGAAGGGCCCTGGGAAATTTTAGATTCTAGATGCTCTGTTGTGCATCAGGGGGGGGTGCAAAGGGGGATGCCCCCCCCCCCCCCCCCCCCCCCCCCCCCCCCCCCCCCCCCCCCCCCGCCGGAAAAACCAAAAAAAAAAAAAAAGCTAAAGAGGCGTGAAGTCATATTGGTGTAAATTTAATGGGTTGGGGGGGGGGAATGTCTCTGCCCCCCTCTAAAACTGATAAATCAAGAATATGTTGAGAAATACAGGAATTTTTGGGAAAAATATGTTTTGCCCCCCTCTAGAAAAATCTTGGCGACGCCCATGCGTACTGAGCTGTTAGTTTGGTGTGTCCACACGTAACAATATGTACAAAGTACATGTGCACGAAAACTGTAGAAACACCAATGCACGGCTAAGCACTGTGCAGCCTGGACCTTTGTCCTCGAACAACCCAAGATGAGTGAAGTAGACTACTAGTCTTCATATGTCAGAACAAAATATTTTAAAGTGAGTAAAAGGAATCCACAGAAATAACAGAAATGAGGCAAGCACAATTACCCCGTCCTATGGAGTCTATGGAGCCTGCCCAAAACAATCTGAAAGACTTCTTTCACAGCAAAATTAGAGCTGTTGAGCTTTACTTCACTGCAAAATGAAATAATTAAAGCTGGTTAGCCCTTCTCATTTTTATCAAATATTTTAAGTTGGATATTTAAACATATTTTTACCTTTGCATGCTTCAACTCAAGTTCAGCTAGCTCAACCAGATGCTTTCTATATGCAGTCACTCTTCTTGTCTTAAAATCAGACAGTTCAGCTTTAGCAACCTGTAAATGTAATAATACAGAGATTTATTGGGATATTTGCCACATTTTTGTTGACAGTCACTTTTAATACACACATGATTTGAGAGTTCCTTTTAAGGCATACTACCTGTAATTGGCAGCTTAGAAATCTTATTCAAGTTTCGTCGGGTACATATGCAAATCCTTGTCAGCAGCCCATTTAATTCCCTATTGGCACATACAAATTTCAACCGGTGGACGTGCATTGTGTTTTATGTGCAATTTCTGACTCGCGAACAGTTTAAAAGAACATAATGTCCTGCAGTGCGTCCAATTGGGCTTTTTAAACGCCCATGGTTGGCACCGTGCTTCAGAACGACAGACTTTATATGTACATATTATACATAGGACCTACATGTATGCCTACATGCTGTACAGCGTCAGTTGTTAAAATAAAAAAAAATCTGAGAGAGACCCTTAAATTTGGTTATGATGATTAAACGCAGTTTAATTGGGTTTTTGGATGCGCGGACACCTCGAGAAATTTTGAGAAGATCCCTGATGTGATTGTTTATGATTACATCACATGCTGAACACGTGAATGGATGGTGGTCATTGGTGGGAAGTTTTACCAGTACAGTTTTAACTTAGCGGCGTGTCATTCTCGATTCCACCACTGACCAAAGAAAAACAATTTTTGCCGAAGACGATAGGCATAGGTAGGCCAAGCCTGTACCAGGCGCGGTTCTACGGTGGGGGGGGGGGGGGGGGGGGGGCTAGGGGGGCTGTAGCCCCCCAATAATTTTGTCTAGCCCCCCCCCAAAATAAATTCCTAAAAAAAAAAATTGCATTAGCCAAAAGAAGGATTGTGATGTACATGCGAACGGTCTCCCCCTAAAGAAGAAATAGTCGTGACAATGGTGCATTAGTTAATATAGTGTGAATGATTTTAGGATTTTATTGGCGCTCCCCATTGAAAATATGGCATGAGCCCCCCCCCCCCCTCCCCCCCAACCTATTGATTTTCGGAGGCCTAAGTGTCTGGAAAAAATCCAACGTGCTAGCCCCCCAAAAAATTGGTTCTAGAACCGCGCCTGGCCTGTACAGAGCCACAAGCAAAATACTTGACTGGAATTGCTAGGCGTAGCCTACTCCGAATCACATTTGGCATATCTGTAGTTGGTCTTGTACTTGGGTAGTACATCATGGTCATCAGCTAGGCCTACGTTTCTGCACTCCATTCACAAATGTTTGACCAATGAGACTCCTGGGCAAGTCGCTTGGTTTGACTATATCATGGTGAGAGAGTGCGATTCCACATTGATGTAATCATGTTTTTCCCAGCAAGCAGTTACTTCAGGGTTCGATTTTAACTTTTTTGTTCACTAGCCAGCCGGGCTACTGAATCAGACTCTTAACTAGCCCGCGGGCATTTTGACAAGCCACATGTTTTTGTTCTTTTATAGAATGTCTCATAAACAACAATGTGCATACATGTAAAAACGTGTATAGAGCCTGAAAGTTGACCCGTGGTGGCGCGCTTCAAGGCCCCTCCAAAAAAGGAACGTTTTTGAAATTAGTTTCGGTATATTGATTTCTTAAAAAAATCCCCCTCAGAAGTTTATGGAAACTGAAAAATTGCATGACGTGAAAGACTGTTGGACCTCTCACTTTTTGAAAACTTCCATGTGGACTCTTGGAACTTGATAACTCGTTTTTACCCATTTCCAACTGATTTCTCATCTATTCTGAGGCAATTTTGTCAGTTTTTTTAATAAACAGGTCTTATCATTTAACCTTTTAAAAGAGTTGATAAAATTATACAGAAATTGATACAGGTTTACTTTCTGAATTTAATAATTTATTTCTTCCTATCCTTTCATCTTTGCCGTATCCCAATCATTTTTTTGACTCGCCAGTTGGGCTACGTAAGGACTAGTTTGCCTAGCCCGCTGCTGTTTTGACTAGCATTTGGCTAGCGGGCTACAGCTAATTTCAAATCCTGAGTTACTTACTTGTTCAGCATTCTTTTATGTTTATTTATTTATTTGAGGCCTACAGTGAGGCTCATTTTCAGTTGTTGTTTTTTTGATACGCAAAACTCCTTACCATTTTACAACCCTTTGTGGCTTTGTGCTTCATTGAAGCTTTTACGCACACTTTTTGACTGATTTGGGTCAGTCTTTTACTCGATGGTGAGCTTTTTGGGGCATTTTTTTTTTCCATCAGGTGTCCTGGTGGCTGTCATGGCTTGTAACATCTTGCCATACAGTACTGCATTTGTTGTTACTTTATATTGTGCCCCTTATAATGTTTGTGCTCTTTGTGAACATTTGTTTGTGCTCTTTTGAGCATTTCGCTCTTATTATGAGCTTTCAGTGTGCGTTTCTGTTTTGGTCATTGGTTGTTTTATTTGAATATTATTCTCAGACTGATATAAAACACACAACACACAATCATTTTTGTTTGTATGTAATTTGCCACAGCTATTTATTTAACACAACATTGCCAGATAACACATGCATGTGTGGATATTTTAAAGTAATTTTCATCGGAAAATAGCCCAGGAGTTTTTTTGTTCTCTTGCCAGTTTATGCATACAGTTGTGCTTTTTATAGATTTCTTTGACAGCATCAATAAGGCTGCGACTCTGAGCAACATTTCTTAGGACATGCTTGTGACAGATCACTGCCTTTAAGCTTGTGTTTTACATCCAAAAATGTCACCTCGTGACCTTGGCCATGGAGTCATTAACATGGATATCGTGTCTGTGGATATCACCGGCCGGGGTTTTGTGTACACTTTTCTGTGTTTGTAATGAAAGGAAGAATTGTAAAACTTGACAACACAGCACGCCTGTGTTATGAAATTCCTCATTTTAGTTTCAATGAAGCCCATTTGAGGCTTCATGACAAAAATAAATGGTTCATAGCAAAGAGCGAATTGGATTTCAATTTGCTTGAATTGCTTCCGCATATTATTATTATTTTTTTCATCAGTGAGCGAAAGTTCAATGCTATAATTTGCACACAGATCCAGCTGAATTTATTTTATTACCATAGAGACGGGCTTTGTCCCTTTATCACAATAGTCTTTGTGCTTGTTACTGAGGTCCCAATTCAACATATGACGTAAGTGATTGTAGTGAAAGCAATAGTAGTAGCACTGGCATCAACAAGTGACATTCTAAATCGCATCCAAGACTGCGTTTTTAATCCAATTCCTTTAGACAAAGAAGACTCTGGTGATCCATTATATAATTCACCTGGTACTAAATACTTTACTGAACAACAAGCAAAAGCTATGACTCAACAGCTATCATGTGACGAACCTTTCTCGATGTTTCATGCAAATATCAGGAATATTGGTAAAAATTTTAACGATCTTACCCTCACTTTGGAGGAAATTGCTCACAAATTTCATATTATAGGGTTAACCGATACGTGGCTAAAAAATGAACCAGATTCTTTGTTATATCTTCCTGGCTACAAAATTGAGTTTTTAATAATCGAAGGGGGGGGGGTGGTATTATGTTATATATCAGGGACTCAGTATCATTTAGTTTACGTCATGACCTAGTTATCCAATCCAATTATTATGAATCACTTTTTATTGAAATCCAAACGAAAAATACAAACAATATCATAGTTGGTTTAATTTACAGGCCGCCCGGTATGAATCTTGCCTCATTTATGGAAGAAGTGTCCGTAATTCTTGGAAAAATTGCATCTGAAACTAAAACTTGCTATTTGCTTGGTGATTACAATATAAACTTACTAAATTATGAAACTCACACCCAAAGCAACAATTTCTTAAATGCATTGTATAGCCATGCTTTTCGGCCAACAATCGACAAACCTACCAGAATAACGTGAATATAGCTACCTTGTTAGACAATATTTTCACAAATGGTATTGAACCTCATTTAACTGGAATCCTATTATCTGGGTTAAGTGATCACCTACCTATTTTTATATTTGGACCAAATCTGACAACTAAAGAAAAACAAGTATTTTACTGGAAAAGAAACACTTTTGCATCAAATATGGCTAGTCTTAAGAATGAATTAAACGATGTTGATTAGAACTGCTGGAAGATAACATTGATGGGCGTTACACCAGATTTATACAGAAACTAAATTACCTTTACGATAAATACCTTATAAGAGATTTAAATCCCGTAAAAACATCATTGTTAATCCATGGATGACAACGGGGCTGCTAAAATCTATTAGACGAAAACACATATTATATAAAAAATATCTTAGTAATCCCACGGACTCAAATAAGTGTAAATATGTAAGATATAAAAATAATCTAACTAACATCATTAGAGTAGCCAAGACAAAATACTACACCATGATGTTTAACAAAGAAAAAAATAACTTAACTAATACTTGGAAACTTATTAACAATATTCTCAAGAAAATTCAAAAAACACCCGGCCTCCTGCTTCATTCAAGATAAACAACTCAGATATTGTAGACCCTGAAACAATTGCTGATCAGTTTAATAATTTCTTTATAAATGTAGGCCCTGAATTAGCTCAGAAAATCCCTCGATCAACTTTAGACCCACTAGATTTTTAAGTGATGTTTTACCTAATTCCTTGTTTCTGACCCCAATAACAACTGAAGAACTTTGTAATTGTATAAATAAACTTCCTAGCAAAAAAAGCAGAGGACATAATGAGATCGATCATCACATTATTAAAGATATAGCACCGTACATACTAAATCCTTTGACAATTTTTAACCGTTCCTTCGAATCAGGAAAAGTACCTACTGATTTGAAAATAGCTAAAGTTATTCCCATATACAAAAATGGCGATCCATCCCTTATTAGTAACTACAGTCCTATTTTTATTTTACCCTACTTTACAAAAATATTAGAAAGACTTGTAGCAAATCGAATGTATAACTTTATGGATAAATATAATATTTTATCAGCGACTCAGTATGGTTTTAGGGCCAACTATTCAACTCATCTGGCACTGATTGACCTCATTGAAAAAAACTAAGTTCCTCACTTGACAACTCTCTTCACACAGTCGGTCTATTTTTGGACCTCTTAAAAGCCTTTGACACAAGAGACCATAATATTTTGATTAGTAAACTAAATAAATATGGAATTAGAGGAATTGCTTGGGATTGGTTAAAAACTATTTAAGTGACAGGAAACAGTATGTGGTATGGCAGAATACCAAATCTACTTTTGCACCAGTCAGTTGTGTAGTTCCTCAAGGTTCAATACTTGGCCCTATACTTTTTCTGGCTTACATAAATGACATTTGTAACTCTTCCAAAATGCTCTCCTTTATTTTATTTGCAGATGACACTGATGTTATTTAAAGCAGTAATAACTTACTTAAGGCAGTTGACACTGTTAATCGACAACTATGCAAAATCACTGATTGGTTTAAATGTAATAAACTATCTGTTAATTAAAAGAAATCCACAATGTATGTTGTTCTCCAATGGTAAGGTCGACAGGATTATCAGTGTTTACTTAAATGACACACAAATAGAACAAGTCGAAACATGTAAATTTCTAGGTGTAATTATTGATAGTAAACTTTCTTGGAAGCAACACTGCCAAAAAGTCCTAATGTCATTTTCTCGGAACCAGGGTATCTTAAGAAAACTAAAACACGAATTACCTTCAGATATCTTATTTTCAATTTATAATACGTTGTCCCTGCCTCACCTTCAATTAGACCCGTGAACGTGGCTTGTAAACTACGCCACCCTCTTGTACATGTTCGAACCAAGCGTAAATCGTCCTTCCGTGACAAAGACTGAACATTGCCTTACCGTGTGATAAGTATTAACACATCAAGCTTTCTTGAACATGTTGAAATTCGAAATTATGTATGGCGGATCGATTTCGCTAGGTTCGAAAATACACAACAGCGTGGCATTGTACAGAACGCCACGTTCACGAGTCTAACCTTCAATATGGTATTTTAGCATGGGGTAACACCTACCCAACCTTTATCAATAAATTGTATATTATGCAAAACAAAACATTTAGGATAATCAATAACAGAGATGAAACTAGCAAGTAGCATATGGCAAATAAATCGAAAAATAGGCTGAACAAAATACGTGTCCGAAATCTGGGCCGCGCTGCAGTTACACACATATACATGCATGTACAATACACTAAACGCCCAATTTCCGGACACCAACTCCTGCTTTATTTTCGATTCAAACCAAATTTTACGATGAAAAAAAAAATGGTCAGTGTTTTCATGCCTGAATTACGGTTAGAGTAATGGAGTCATCAATAAAGAAGTTCACTTCTTACTTGAGAAAGTCGAGGGAAAAGTCCGAAAGACAAGGGCACCATTCATGGTGCCTCAATCTTGTCTATGTCATTCTACCACACAACTCCACTACTCCACTAGCATTCATATGTGGGGAAAAATCAGGCATTAATATCGTCTTTCTCTTCCAACAAATGCCATTGAAATGTTTCGCTAATGCTCTCTTCGCTATTCTCGAGATATTCATCACGATTTTTAAAGCATTGCATTTTGTACAAATTAATCTGAAACCTACGGAGCCCCTAAAGGGACATCCAAAATTATTTTTTTATCTCATGCGCACGACATATATCTCGTGCGCACGACATATATCTCGTGCACAAAAGATAATTATCTCGTGCGCACGAGATAATTATAAGTATTAACGGAGCTTGCTGCACGTGCAGCGAACGAGTTTGTGTCAGGCACTTTACGCTATACATTTCAAGTCATATCAGTTACAGGACGGGGATGGTTTTTTAGGGGGCCGCCACCGGTGATTAATTTTGTCAAGTTTTGCCTTTTTCTGAGAGAGACGTGTTTTATGCAAAAAAGAACGGTACGTGCTGGCAAAAATCAGGGAATTGGTGGACAATAACAAGAAAATTGCCAACGGGAATGAAAATTGATTTAAAGGGGAAGGAAATGAGGATTTGTTATCAGCATCAGCAGTTTGAATGGATGCGAGTCAGACGGTCTTACTCTTCCTCCCATTTTAAACGATTGAAGTCTTATTATGAAGAATGAGTGGGCAGTAGCGAAGGATGGTCGACCTAAGGGTGGGAATAAAGTTAAAGCCCCTGCCCAGAGCAATCAGTTTAATGATTGAAAGCTTTTTAGCCTTCAGCAGTGATTTTCTTTGCCTCATTTTTACCCTTTTTTGCAAATTACGGTACTGGTCAGATCTTTCTAAGGCTTCTTTTGGTTGGCTTTTGTTGATTCTCCTCGCCATGCCCAAGCAGACTCCAATGGGTGTGTTTATAGTGGAGCTGCTTAGGTCCATTTTTTGGCCCAATTCATGCACTTTGTTTTAAAAGCATGGAATTTGGCATGTGGGGTCAAAATGGGTTAGAAATCATTTTAAGGGTGCAACCTTGTATTAAAATTACCATAGACACCAGTGCTAAATGCCCATACTTCAAAATTCTTTTAAAAATACTCAGAACTCTCACATGTATATAAGCTGCACAGAAAAATAATGATAAACATGTCATCTTTCATTTCTGTTTATTTTTTGGTGGGTTGACCATTGACTTTTCGAGATATTCTCACCCAAAGAAGATGTCCCCTATTTTCCCCAAAGCATTCTGAGCATTTTGGATGCAATTGGGCTCGAAAGTGGCGCTATTTTGCCATGTTGTGGAGGGATCGTTTTTCAAGATGGCTACTTTTCCGCTTTGGGGAAAATAGGGGACGTCTTCTTTGGGTGAGAATATCTCGAAAAGTCAATGGTCAACTCAGCTCCGTTTCAGAGATAGACAGCCGTTGTAATCGGTCTGGTTCCTCGTCGTCATCGGATGACTCAGCCGATTGTGAGGGCCGAGTTGACTCCGGTGAACGAACGCCGTCTGGAGGGGCGAGTTGTACCGAACCACGCGCTAGTGGCTGGACAACTTCCTCAGAGTCAAACGGCATGGATGGATGAATGCTCAATACAGGCGGGGATCCCAGCGTACGCGGTAGGTCCCGTGGCCTCTGATCCACCCAACCGTGGCTCACGGCCGATGCATGCGAGACACTCGATGCAGGCTGGGCCTCCGGTGCACGGTCAACCATGTGTGGTATATCCCGTTGTGCCTGGGCCACCCAACCGTGGCCAACCAACGACGACTGTGAAGCCCTCACCGCAGGCGGGGACGGTGACTGAAGACTGCAATGCGGGCCCAACGACCGCTGGTTGTGGGCCGTAGTCCACCGCTGCAGGGGGCCCCCCAATAGGGCCCGCCCGGCGGCCTGCCGACATAGCCGATAGCGTATCGGAAATCGACTGGAAAGCCTGCAGGAAATCTGCTCTAGAAACCGCGTCTTCCCCCCCCCCCGGGAGCGTTTGCCCCAGCGGGACCGGTCAGAAGAGTCGTCAGAACCCGAAGAAGAATGGCGCGATCAACGTGCAGCCTTCTTCTTCTTATTCTTCTATTTAGAAGAACGGCCCCGAGGTGTGTCCGAGGAAAAATCGGAGGATACCTGGAACACCGGGACCCCCGAACAACGGAAAAAATCCAAAGATGAGAGTAGTCCCTCTGAGCGAGCTAGCACGGGGGCCGTCGGCCCTGGATCCCCCCCGGCGACCGGCTCCGTATCGCTCATAATGCACCCGGACGACAGCGCCTCAGGCCCCGTGGGCTGAGCGAGCGCTGAACGGACCGGTATCCCGTGCAATAGCCCATCCCGACAGCCAGTGGTGTTCGGCACTGTGTCGGGAGGACACGGGTGACTAGCGCCCACCGAAGTGTGACGGCTAGTCCCCTCGGGCTGCCCCGTGATCGGGGGAGGGCCAGGTGCCACAGCGGCGCTCGTTGCCGAGCCACGCTTGCCCTGACGGCCCTTCTTAGGCTTTGCTCCGGCACAGGAGATATGTTTTGGAGGAACCTTGCCGAAGTGTGCCTTTAGTTTGAGTGTTCTGCCTGAGTTGACCGGAGAAGGTGACCGAGGTCCCCTTAACTGATCGGCGGAACTGCCAACTCCCCCAGCCGACTGTGGCTGAGGGTGCCGGACGAGAGACTGCTGCCGCGGTAACGATGTAGCGTTAACGGCAGAGTCCCCCAAGAACTCGGTCCATCCCGTGGGAGAGGAATTCTCTACAAACTAATGATTACTAACTCTTTTATTAAATACTTCTCTTAAACGCAAAAAAAGGGTAGTAAATGACGAGGCAAACAGCGAGCTATTTCACACACGTCCTACCCGACCTGCCGCTAAGAGAAAAGAGGACGCTCACGAGGCACGCATGCCGCGGGGTATTATGGGTAGGGCGCCAGAGGGCGCTATTGTATATAACTCTTAGCGGAAAATACCTGCCGGTAGGGGGAATATGCATAAGTAGTATTGCTCTACAGGTAAGTAGAGTGAAGTAGACATAAATTTTTCTTCTAACTTTGTAACGGGTAGATAAACTCGTGATTTATGAACGGGAGTGTTTAGAACTTGATGAAATTGCTGTTTCTGTGAAATTTCAGTTAAAACGTTTGCTCTAGCTAGGCGCTACAGGCAAAAAATCAAAGGGCGCCACGTTAGGGGCCGTACCACGTTAGGATACATCAACAATATTGACACCAACTCACGATCGTTACTGCACATCATCATCATCGTCGGTTTTGAGGCCGTTGTCCAGTCTACTCTGGGTTGGCACAGTACATGCACAATACACACATAACGCAATATGAACATGAGGGACAGGTGCACACACCATTGAAAAACAGGGGTACATGTATATGTAGACTTGTATAGGAGTCTAATTGACATTGACAAATCAGCATCGCGTTTTGCGAAGGCTGTGCGCGAATTAGCATGTTATAGAGTGGGGTCCTGAGATCACTTGGTGAGTTCGCATGATAGCGCCAATGCAGTAGGAACGCGTTCTGGTGCTGTTTCCAAGTTGCAAGAAGCCAAGCTTTGGGGTGTAAGGACGAGTCAAGTTGCGGTGCCGTTTCTGTGGTCTTCCGTTGCTGTTGCGCACTCCCCATTTGGGAGAAGGATCTCTGACGGTGACACGCTGGTGTGGCCAGGTTCGGGAGTTAAAGCTCCAGTTTAGTTAACATTAAGCTAAGTGTTATCTACTACATTTCAAGAGTTGTAGCTCTAGGTTTGTTATTTAGTGTCGATTATCTAAGATAATTGGGGACAAAGATTTAGGTGGAGAACTAGTAGGGAAATTATAAGACTGATCATTGTGTCTTGATTAGTGCTTAAACACCCATTCTGGAATTTGTATTCCTGTGGAGACATTTCTTTGTTCTCGTGTAGTAAAGTTTTCGAGTGTGAAATTGAAGTTTCAAAATGCTCTTATTTTAACCAGAATTAATTTCCTGGGCTGAAATTTGGACTAAATATCCCTTTTCTAAAACTCTTCCATTTGCGACAAATCAACCTACCTTGGAAATTCCTAGTTTTTGAGTAAAATCCATATATCTATTTCGTGAAATTCTTGTGGAGACGTATTCATCTATAGAAATGTTCTTCTGGAGACGTATACAATCTTTTGTTCCCTATTGTGTTCATGTCTCCGTAAGGTAGTAAATTCCAGCACAACAAGTCAGGTGTATTAACAAACACAAATGCCCCGCAACCGTGACTGTTCCCATGACATAACACCACTCTTTTAACATCAACTTACATGTACCTTGGTCACATGGAACCTTCATTGACAGCATTATGTCTTTTGTTTTAGCCACTGTGACCTTGACCCTTGACCTTTTGGCCCCAAATGCAATAGGCTTCTTAGGATTACCAAGAACAATCCACAAACCAAATTTGAAGTTCACATGTAAAGTATTTCTCAAGTTATCGCGCTGACAAGATTTCTATTGTTTTAGCCACTGTGAACTTGACCCTTGACCTTTTGGCCCCAAATGCAATAGGCTTCTTAGGATTACCAAAAACAATCCACAAACCAAATTTGAAGTTCATATGTTCAGTATTTCTCAAGTAATCGCGCTGACAAGATTTCTATTGTTTTAGCCACTGTGAACTTGACCCTTGACCTTTTGGCCCCAAATGCAATAGGCTTCTTATGATTACCAAGAACAATCCACAAACCAAATTTGAAGTTCATATGTGAAGTATTTCTCAAGTTATCGCGCTGACACGATTTATCCGGACACACACACACACACACACACCCAGACTTGTTTCACATACCTAGTGTGGACTTTCCTTTCTTTTCGTGTAGTAAAGGAACACCAGTGGAAAAACTCATTTTTCTCAAACTGTGAAAACTCTTACAACCCAATTTTTTTTCAATGATTCCCTTTAGTGTTTCTCTTCATTCTGCTACAGATAAACCTAACCCAAAAATGCCTCTAAACCTGTTTTCCAGAAATGGGGAAACACTGTGTGGACGTGGGCAAGTCCACACTTCGTCGCTGCTACCTACATTATGTGGACGTCTTTTGTTCGGAAGTCCACACTGCGTATGTAAGACAAGCTCACACCCACCCACGGAAGAACAAGGCGGAAACAGTATGCCCCTTCGGCTTCGCCGCGGGGCATAAAAATGGGCTAGGAGTTGTAGAACTTGGTTTCAGAGGCTAGTGAGGTTGTGGTTCGGTGGTAGATTACTTGTCGTGGGTTGGACACCATTCGATGGGGTTTGACAAATGAGCCGATCAGTGCCGTAATCACTGAACTGGCTCGCCTCACAAGTTTACTCATTGCCGTGTTCTGAGCACTTGTGAGGGTTACTGGTTTCCTGTGAGGGATATTGGGACAGCTCAGCCTGTGTGAGGGATATTGGGATTGCTTGGTACAACCTGCATTGACGAATAATCAGGTTGAGGGTTACCGTCCTTGTGAGAGGGTTATTGGGGCACCTCAATCTGTGTGAGGGTTATTGGAACTGGGCTATTTCATAAAAGGAATTATAATTGTATAAGTTTATTTATCAGGGGTGCAGTTGGCAGTGGCCCTTGACCCGTGTGAGAATTACCAGTGTTTATATTGATTCATTGTGCATGATTTATTATAATTAAGTGCCGATCAGAATAATAATACAAATCTTAATAATCTTAGAATCTGTTGTCACTGTAAGGTATATTTGCGTTGTAAGGTATTAAGCCGATTAATTAGTACTCTGTTTACCTCTAATTAATTACTCAGTCACAAAACGGTTATTTTCACCAAACGAACAGCCCCTAGGCTAAGTCCACCGTTCGTTAATTGTCCCCTCTTTTGTACAGTAGACCTGAGCATGTCATACTACATGGTAATGCATATTCATGAAAACGTTTGCCAACACAACCACTCATTGGCTGACCATGATCAGCTCAGGATCCTGTGTTATTCCAAGTCTGCAATGGCATTTTTTGCAGTAAACTCTTTACACATGAACATTATAGGCAAGCATGTGCAGTGTTTCTACAAGTAGTGCAATGCTACAATGAATCTCCAAAAGCAAAGATCATGAGTAAATTGAAGGTATCACAGCTAAGCTCTTATTATGAACTGTATGCAGCAGATAATCAATCTCATGTTTGATACACAAATGTGAGTCTGTGGCAGTTTCCCGGGACTAATTTCACCTATGAATAAATTAACACCCACCAGAGAAAATCTGAGAATAAAGCATTTGATCATTTAATGATAAAATGTCTTTATTATCACGTGCATGAATTTACCAAAATGTTGTTTCGTTTATATTCATAACCCATTTAGGATTGCCACAAGCCAAAATAAACACAATTTCCATGGTCTTTAAGAATATGTAACTTTCATAACTTGGGCAAATATTCTGTGACCAATTTCTGTCCATGTTATGTACATAATATTCTGAACATAATACCCTGTGATGTCTTATATAGAATATATAGCAGATTGTCTTGGTTTTTCCAGTAGGGATAGGAATGGAAAGCACAATATTTAGGCAAATACATGTATTTCAATTATAACTTTCTATCAATATCAAACTTTAGTTACGAATGTAAATATATGAGCATGTATATCTTGTAAAATCTGCCTGAAAGTCTTAAATTGCTGGTGAGCACAATAGTTAACAATGGATGGAGAATGCACAAGCGGAAAAGAGGACAAACAACTTGATATTATTATTCAGCTTCATTTCCCAATCCCACGTCATACTTTTGTACCCCTTTAGTGTGGAATGACCCACAAACAAGCAAAATAAATAGTACCAGCACTGAACTTAAAGTACTGTTTCAAGCAGATGTTATGGTTTATTCTGTGTGCTTTTGCCTGTCTGTCTGTCTGTCTGTCTGTCTGTGTCAGAATTTCACTTAGATTTGAAGTGTTTTATATATTTCCAAATGTGCTTGTAGACTTCTTCATGTTTATTCATTAACTTGTGACTTTTATTTACACAGGGCCATGGATTTCTTTGCCAACATGTAAATAACCTACTATTTTGTTTAGCAATACAGGACTGACAGGAGCAGTAGAATTCTCTTCCTTTGTGTTACCCATACCAATAGCATGTAATGCCTTTTGTGTTGAATTTAATAAGCTTATCCAAGCCTTCCTCAATCTTTGTGTTTGAATTCCTTGAGGTTGTAAATGAATGAAGTGGAATGTTAGGTATCAGGTTTGGTTTGCAGTGATTGCTGGTATAAGAGAGATTTTTGGGTGTGCCACGGCAGAGCACATTTGATTTTTGATAGACGTGGATGTCATGCATTGATCCTCTGAGCCACGCGCTTTTCACAAGCCGGTATAGCTGCTAAATTTGCAGCAACTTGCAGAAGCAGATATTACAGACTGCTTAAGGGCAAATATTGGTGTGAAGCTGAGACCAACAGCGGCTGGATCAGCAAATCCAAGATCGTGAATGACAAGGAAACCGTAAGTTATGTTTATTTAATTATCAAGGAGGTTGTGGTTTCTTTTTAGTTATTTAAAATGTATCATTGCAGTAAATAATGACCAGTGCCACATGGAGAAAGTTTTGATGGAATAATTGACATTACTGATGAAGTTTTTTTTAACATATACGCAAGTGTGATTCTTTAAGTTAAAGCCGATTTGTTGAAAAAAAGATTGGAGATTTTGAGGTATTATTGCCTGTATTTTTTGGCCAATCTTTTATTGAATTATTAGATGGCCCTTGGCCCAAGCTAGCCTGTAGCCTGAGGTGCATGCCAAATTGAGGTAGATGGTCAATGAGCCGGGATGCTTAAGACGTTGATTTATGTAGTAGCAACCATCGAGTTTGACGTACTAACGTGAGAGTCGCAGAGACGACAGAGGATGCCGGAAGGGCTGTCATCACTAGTGTTACACCACCGAGAGGCTGAAATCAGCAGGAGAACACCTAATTTTTAAAACACGGTGAACTGTATCATTCTTGTTTTTGCAATAACATTTAATTGTTATTGAGATCTATTAAGATAGATTTGTTTGATAATCTTGATTTGCAAGACATTCTTTTTTTGTGATTTATAAATCGAAGAGGTTTTTTTGTGGCCAAATCGACTGGAAATTGAATTTGGAAGTAGTTAACCGGTCATTGTTTTTTTTTTTTAATAAAACCTTTGGAAAACATCCAAAGTAAGTGTACATTGGTTTTTTTATGACTTAGTGGACAAACTTAGAAGTGGTTTCGAATGTATCCACACCTAGCGTTCTTTTATTAGTTTAATTTGTTCAGAAAGTACAAACAGAGATTCCTTTAATTACTATTTTTTTTGGTTGAGTTGTGTTTCAAATTAAGAGTTTAAAACTGAGAAGAAAGAATACTTAGTTTATTTTGTGAGACACTTTTGTTGTGTTCCGCATTAATCATGCATTTTATGACTTAAGAGAAATTAATAATCCTCTTTATGACTTAAGGAGAAATATTGTAAATACTGCAAGAAGAAGTGGACTTATAAATTAAATTGTAAATAATAATTGTGTAAATAGAACTGATCTTGTCCATTGTTGTGATTATTTTGTGTTTGCAATCTAATCATTTTATCTTTCCAGCCAGTCCCTAAAACAAAAGAGTAACTGTGACAGTCTGATTGATGTCCTTTTTTGGGGGGGGGGGGGAGGGGAGGGGGAATCGTGATTTGTTAGCCTTTGTTTTTCTTTTCCTTTTTAATATGTTCGTTAGCTTGTTTGTTTTGTTCTGTGTGCTTGTATCTGTCTGTCTGTTTGTCGTCCTTTGTTGTTTCTGTGTGTAGTGCAAAAGTTGTACTGTTCTAGTTGGAGAGCTTCTCGAAAAGCTTTTATTAAACTTTTAGGCAATCCATCAGACCTGCATACGGTACAATTTAATGTTTGATATTTTTTAATGTTTTTGTTTTATAGTTTCTTGTAACTTCCCCATTTGGGGTTTTTGCTTTTGATCTCCTTTGTCGTTCTTGCAAGTTTTAGGCAATAGGTCTCGTTCAAATGACATCATTTCCTACAGACCATCCACGTGCATCGGCATTTTGAGTGTCAACTTGCATAACGCGCATCGGCTGCATCATATTTCGAACACATTTCGAGCAACAAGCGCCCGTGTTTAGAACATTTTGAACACTGCGCAATGCGTGCTTGATTGCGTAAAATACGCGGTTGCAGTTCTCCTACAGAGATGGCCGTCAGTGAGCGAGCCCTATTGAATTATGTTACATAATATTTTTGACCGCGAAATGATCTTTAACATAACAATGTAATAAAAACTAGAACGGTGAAGCCATAATGGCTCGCTGTAGAAGGTGGAAAGGGAGGCTGAAGGTAGGGTTGGGGATGGGCATGGTGGATGGGGATCAGGATTCACGATGATGTGACAAGGTGTCACGTATGTTCATCCCTTCCCTTAGTTTGTGCGCCAGTGACTGTCGAAATGGCAGAGGAAAGACACACCAATTTTCATCTGAAAACATCCTGTTCATTTTGCTAGATTAAGTGAGAAACATTCCACTGGATGAAATTAAATGAGTTTCTTTTGTTTTATTCGCCATATTTTTGTGGTAAAAATTCGACATTTTTCTTCGTTTTTCGCTTTCCATTGCCATGCAATCATCAGCAAAAAGGGCCAACTAAAGTTGGGATTTTTTAAATGTTCTCCAGTTTCCCCAAACATGCCACTTATCACAGCATATGAATGAGATATGAAAAAAATATTATTACAGGATTAATGAGTTATTCAGGCATGCAACTGGAAAGTCACAAATAAAAGACGAAATTCAAATCTTTCCAAGACTTTGTACAGTGTTTTTCTATTTTCTATGGCACACAGCCGATCCGAGGAAAAGTTGCATGCCTGGTTATTGGGAATGGGTTTGGGTTCTGACCGTATGAACCATGCACCGTCAAATACGATGTCACCATGCAAGGAAGGCCATGTTGGGTCGTCCACATGGAGCACTGGCCTGGCTTGCGCAACGAGGAAAATCACGCTGCCGTATATGGGTCACCAGAAAAATGTGTACACGTCGGCGGATACGTCCTTCTTTCTTGAGCTGTCCTATTCGCAATAACTTGGAAATGGTATAATTATTTTCATCTATTCTTTATCTACATGGCAATGTCTTTCACTTTTCCAGGAAAATTAGAGAAATATTTTTATAATTGGATTGATACACACATGGTTTGAAGAATTTTGGGGGAAAGGATTTTTTTTCTCTTAAATTTTTTTTTTTTTTTCAGAATATTTTTTTTAACATTTGGACAATCTCAGCTCATAGCATAAGTGCACTGGCATGAACATACGTGGTGTAGAGGTTAGTTTTATTAAATGCCAACATAAAAAGTCAAAAAATGTCCTTACATGGGTGTACATGTACATATACGACACCACCCCTGCCCTGTTTCAATTGTTTCCTCACACATAATTTGAATACATTTTGTATGAAAGTTGTTAAAGGTATCAGACATTTTCATACACTTCATAACAAGGTATTATTGACTAGTCACTGATATTAGTGAACAACATTCAACAAGATGAACATTATGAAGATTGAGCCACATCCAGTTACTTTTGTAAACTTTTCCTGAGTCAAACGTCCCACTGCGGACACAGGTTAAGATTTTACCCGTTCTGTTTTTACCATCAACTTCGTAAATCTGAAAGCAAATGAGTCCATTATGAACACGGCTTTTTACTGCTCCATTGTACTTTATTCCTTTTAAGAAATAGGCCCTCCAAAAATGATCATGTAACATTCTGGTAATGAAAACAATTCAAAGAATTGGTTGCATTCAAACCATTTATGCTAAAACTATTTTCAAAGTGAATGCAGGGTGTTGTCTTAGTTCACACTGAAGTAATGTAGATTTCTTACCTCAGATATCTTCTCAAACTTGTCACACGATTCTTGTTGTTTCATCTCAGCTTGCTGCACATCCTTGTTCTTTGCTCGTGCTTTCTCTAATGCTTTGTTTGCAGACTGATAGTCAACAAGTGCACGCATCCTGCGGTACAACAGATCCTTTACACAAAGAATAATCATTTATCAGTCTAAAAGTTGATTTATCCAACATTTCCTGGACACATTGAATGTCACATAAAACTTGATACTATATTATCAGGAAGCTGAAATCAGGAATTTGGAATGTTTCATTGGCCCAATGAGCAGGGGGTAATAATGCTGCAGCACCTTGAGCACCTGTCCAGGTGGATATGTGCACTTTAGAAAAAGTCACTATAATTAGCTGTTTTGGTGACACACCAAAACAGCTCTTGTTTTAGTTAAGATTTTTTTTTTAGCTGCTTCAGCATACACACCAAAACAGCTATTGTTTTCGTTAAGATTTTTGGGGCTTTTCTGCAAAGTGTGGAAAAGCCTTTCTTTCTGTTCTGAATATTTTTTCTTTCTTCTTCTTCCTTTTTGTCGGAAAAAATCCCATAGACTTTGTAAAAAAAAATTCCGGCCTTCACTTTTGCCATTCATCCTTGTCATACATCCTTTAAAGTTACCATAGGCATAGTCCCTATAGCAAGGATGTGTCCCGAAGAGTGACGTCATGGTGACGTCACCATGGGGTCGCGTGACCTCACTTTAAAGATTTCTAGATTTAATCTTTGAAAATCAATATAAAAGCAAACATGAGGGACCTGAACTTGATTTTTGCGGGAACTGATATAATAATCCAGGGTCTTCTTTTAGTGTGTGTGAAGTCACGTGACCCTTTTTCCAGCCCAAACCTGAAGTGGCTTATAATTCAAAACTGGAAAAAGATGTGAACTCGCTTTCAACGATGTTAGTCTGTGTTAGGTTGTCGTTTCCAAACAAATTACAGGTTTGCAAAAAAATTACTACCAGTAGGTTGAAAAATGTTTAAAATGCATTTTGAGTTGATGTCTGTGGCAAATTTTGTAGTAATCGCTTAAAAATTAGTATATATGATGGCCTAATGCAGACAACACTTGCGAGCAAAAAATAATTAATGTCATCATCAGACCGGAAGTTAGAATGAAAAAACGAGAGATCTATGTGTCTTTGAAAACAGCACATAAGGCTTTTCCGCTTATTCTATTTTGTATGACTTTATGCTTTTTTGCCAATGTGGAGTCATGTAAATTATATTTTTGGTTCAAAGTTCATAAAAAGTTATATTGAGCTAGTATAGCCAACAGATATAAAATGTATGAAATTAGTTGATGGCATCATGTTGACAACACTTTGGATTTGGCATTTGATGACGTCACATGCCCTAATATTTTTTTGCAAAAATCATGAAAAATTAACCGATGACGTCATGGTGACGTCTTTTCAGAATTTGTATACTGGTACCATTTTCTAGCTATCCACTAATTTTCATGACGATCGGACCTTCCCTTATATGTGTTTTAAAAAATCGCATTTTTGATGACGTCATGATGACGTCACACATTTTTCAAAATTTTGTGCATATATCTATTACCTAACAAACATAATACGAGAAGAATTTTGAATTTTGCATGTTGCGTTCGTGAGATACGGCTTAAAGGTCCAAAATGCCAAAAATTCATATAAAAACACACGATGACATCATGATGATGTCACATAAATTTTTGCCTAAAACGCATCCCGGTCTACTCACATACCAAGTTTCAACCCAATCGGACTTACAGTTCTCTAGATATAGGACTTTACAATATGCACATTTAGGATGACGTCACGTGATCAATGATGACGTCATCATGAGGTCACCTCAATTTTCATCTGTAACACATCCCGATCTACCTACATACCGAGTTTCAACCCAATCGGACTGACAGTTCTGTAGATGTAGGACTTTGTAATGTCCACATGAATGATGACATCATGTGACCCATGGTGACGTCATCATGACGTCAATCTTCGGGACACATCTTTCCTATAGGAACTATGCCTATGCTGACTTTGAATAATGTATGACAAAGATTAATGCCAAAAGTGGAGGCCAGAAAAGACGTGCTCAAAGTCAATGGACTTTGAGATGGAACAAAAAGAAGAAGAAGAAGAAAGAAATATGAGATCTATGTCTGTTTGCAACAGAACATAGGGCTTTTTCGCATTATGCTTTTTATCAATAACACGTCCCAGACTATGCATGTACAATGTTTCAAAGTATACGGTACAATACTTTTTAAAATTTAGCATGTGGCGTCTGTGAGATATATAAATTGCCAAAAGAAATACATCCATATTAAATCAGACGTGTCGGACTACCTTCGTACATGTGCATGTGTCATTCTTGAGATATGGCTTAAAGGTCCAAAAATCAACTAAAATCACATGATGACGTCATCCTCAATATTCACCTATAACACATCCAGCCGGTCTACCTGCATACAAAGTTTCAACCCAATCCGACTGACAGTTCTGTAGATATAGGACTTTGTAATATGCACATGAATGATGACGTCACATGACCCATGATGACGTCATCATGACGTCAATCTTCGGGACATATCTTTGCTATAGGGACTATGCCTATGCTGACTTTGAATACTGTATGATAAAGATTAATGCCAAAAGTGGAGGCCAGAAAAGACGTGCACAGAGTCAATGGACTTTGAGATGAAACAAAAAGAAGAAGAAGAAGACGAGAGATCTATGTCTGTTTGCAAGAGAACATAGGGCTTTTCCGCATTATAATTGTTTTTTTTAACAATAACACATCCCTGACTATGCATGTACAATGTTTTGATTGAATCAGACTTGGCTTGAACAGGTTCCTGTATTGAAAGAAAATGTGACAATTGTAAATTTATCGAAATATTTTTCCTCGCACATTTTTTGTCTGTATGATCGAAAACACAAAGTATAGTATACAGATACATGTATACATGTGTTGTACAGTCTAATTGCACCATTTGTTGTCTAGTTTTCAAGCGAATTTTCCAAAACTAAACCAACTGTCTTAATAAAAAGCACACATTCATAGCTGGATATCCCATCTATAAATAAAGACAATTGGGAAACAAAACGTACATAAAAAAGGAATTTAACATGAAACAAATTGACATGACATGAAACAAATTAGCATTCTCAAAACGAGCCACCCCCCCCTGAAATTATGTGTTCGTACGTGCATGATGATTTGCTGTACACCGCCGTCCGCCCGCGTACAAGCTAAAAGAAAAGGCAGAAAACCTACGAAAATGTCGCCACAAGGACTGGCACAAACTATTCAAACGAAAGCTCGTTGCTTTCTTTATCGATGTGTGGTGATCATTTTTTTGTCCTTATCTAGTCAAGTCACGGCGAAGGAACTAAAAAAAGAACAACCAAATTCATCCTCAAAATCGCACCCCAACTTCTAATGAAACAAATTCTGCCAAAATATACTGAATCTATTTCTGAATCCAAATATCATTCAGAAAAAAAAGGTTCGCTTTCAACTTAATACCATGCATGTCATCTTCAAGAACCGCTACTTCTTTTGTAAATGTGTAGTTCATATAAACAGAGCTGTCGAACACTCCGGCCGATTCGTGACAAAGCCCTGCAGATAAAGGTCAGGATTTGACCTCAGCAACGCGTGCGCTGCGGGCTGATTGACATACCATGTATGTGCATATGTACAATGCACGTGCATGTACATTGTGGACATCCTGAGCATGTTTTAAAGCAGAGGTATTGCCAACCTGAAGTTTTAAGCGTGTGCAGGGCATGTCCAAGTTGCTTATTGCCTCAAAACTTCGAAATGTTTTAGACCTACCCTTAAATCGACAATTAAAGTAAAAATCAATATAAAAACTGTCATGGTTGATTTTTTAGGAATTTTCAAAGGAAAAAAGGTCTTTTCATTATAACTTCCGGTATGATGACGTCATCATTTTTTTTCGTGCACAGGTGTTGTCTGCATTGAGGTCATCATATACACCAATTTTGAAGCTATTACCGCAAACTTCGTCACAGACATCCACTGAAAATTCATTTTACACTTTTTTCAACCTACCCGTAAAGGGCGCTCTAACATGCGCTCTAAGGTGTCGGGTTATGTCACATTAAAGATGAATTTTTTCCCAATATGTTTTGTGCACGTTTTAAAACACTCCAGTCTGGCACCTTCGTAAATCCGATCGACTTTAGACTTGATACATACTTAGACCGCCACCCACAGATGGTCCTAGAAGAAATCCAAAATGTTTTGTACACGCTTTAAACACGCTACTTTTGCACTTTTGTAAATGTGATTAATGCTAGACTTGGTACACACTTAATCTACCACGTAGATTATGTCACATTAAAGATGCATTCTTCCCCCTATTGGTTTTGTACATGTTTTTCTTCAAACCATCCATTTTTGCACTTCTATGTGTCTGACTGACTTAACACTTGTCGGACACTAAGACCAGCAACCGTAGATGGTCCCCAATGAATTCCTAACAATGACGTCAACATGTGTCACGTGACATGACATTTAATGTGCATTTTTTTTTTCAAACAGCTATAACTTCGATAAGTCTGATTGGGTTAAAACTTTAATAGTATGCACATTCACAGGGATATGTTATAGATGGAAATTGAAGTGACGTCATTATCAAATGTCAAGTGACGTCCCTTAAAGGGGCATTTTATTCTTTTATAGGCCTATATCTACAAAACTATAATAAGAGGTTGTAACTTGACATATGCTGTTATAGATGACATTTGTAGTGACGTCACTTATTGTTCATCACGTGCACAGAGTATTTCACAAACACATTTCTTGTCCACAAACACATTTCTTGTTTTCGTGAAGATTTTTTTCTTTCTTTTTTGAAGGGCTTTTCCACAAAGTGCGAAAAGCCGTTGTTTTTGTGCTTTTTTTTTTTGGCTTTTCCGCAAAGTTGCGGAAAAGCCTTTGTTTTTGTTCTGATTTTTTTTCTTTCTTTTTCTTTTTGTTCCACCCCAATTCCCATAGACTTTGTACACGTTTTTTAACCGCGGCATTTTGAACCTTAAACAAACTTGTATTCCAATGAAACCTAACCTATGTGAAGACCCCATAGTGAGTATGTGTCCCGAAGAGTGACGTCATGATTACGTCATCATGGGTCACGTGACGTCATCTTAAACATGCAAACTTTAAGACCCTATATCTAAAGAACCATAAGTCCGATTGGGTTGAAACTCGGTATGTAGGTAGGCCGAGATGTGATATAGGTCAAAATTGAGGTGACGTCATCATGACGTCATCGTGTGATTTTATATCGATTTTTGAAGTTTTGGACCTTTAAGCCAATATGCTAAATTCAAAATTCTTTTTGTATTATGTTTGTTAGGTAACAGGTACATTCACAAAATTGTGAAAATTGTGTGACATCATTATGACGTCATCAAAAATGCAATTTTTCAAAACACATATAAAGGAATGTCCAATCGTCATGAAACTTGCTGGGTGGGTAGATAATAGTACTAGTACACAAAATCTGAAATGACGTAACAATGACGTCATCGGTAGACTTTTTACGATTTTTAAAATATTAACAATTTTATTCTGCTTACAAATTTAACACTTTAATTCATCCGATTGGCTTCGAACATGCTAAATTCAAAATTCTTTTTGTATTAGGTTTGTTATGTATAGGCATCTGCACATTTTTTTTGAAAAATGTGTGACGTCACAATGACGTCATCAAAAATGCGATTTTTAAAAATTCCGAAAAGACGTCACCATGACGTTATTGGTTTATTTTTTTATGATATTTTCTCATATTTACAATTTTATCCCGCTTCCAAATTTAACACTTCCTTTCATTGGATTGACTTCAACCTTAGTACAAACCAAGACCACAATGCAAAAATGTGCATTGACAAGTGTTATCAAGATGATGTCATCGTAGGGCATGTGACATCTTCAAATAATTTCTACACATTTTATATCTGTTGGCTATACTAGCTCAATATAACTTTTTATGAACTTTGAACAAAAAATATAATTAACATGACTGTACATTGGCAAAAACGCATTAAGTCATACAAAAATATAAGCGGAAAAGCCCTATGTTCTGTTTTCAAACAGACATAGACCTCTAGTTTTTGGCTTTTCCGCAAAGTGCGGAAAAGCCTTTGTTTTTGTGCTGTTTTTTTTCTTCTTTCTTCTTCTTCTTCTTCTTCTTCTAAGGCAAATTATGGAGGATACCAATGTATAATGAGGACACAAAAAAGCAAAATAGTACCCACCTTGTCTGTACAATTGAAGCTTGAAAAAAAAAAAAAGCCACCCAAAAAAAAAAAAGGCAAGGCAGCGTAAACAGAGCCTGATGTTGCACAGGAAATTTGTCTTTTTGCGATGCCAAACTCCTTCACGTGGCGATTTGTTTTATCCAGTTCACCAGGCATTAAGGACTTTCTGCCGAGTTGTATAACAAGGACAATAAAAAAATTGTGCCTGTTGGTATATGCAAATGTAAGGTTTAACAGGTAAGAGAGTCCCAAAAGTTGACTTGAAAACCAATATAAAATAAATCGTGAGAGACCGGAACTTGATTTTTGGGGGAATAGATCTCCATTTTATCTCGTGTGGGTCAAATCACGTGACTCTTCCTTCCGGTACAAATCGGAGGTTCCTTTTAATTTGAAATTCATTGAATGTAATTTTTTTATTGATTTTCGAAGTTTCAGCGTTATTTTCCAATGAAATACACTTTAAACTTCAAAATGATTTCCACACAATGAAACCACAGCCTGTGGTTAAACTGAGGTGCAGTCTTTGTTTCAGCTCTTGATTTGGTTATTTTACTCGGTTATTTTCTTTCGTACATGTACATCAAATTTTTCGCTGTACACAACGAAACTACACATCGCATCTACAACCAAAGTTGTAGTCGAGGACTTTTTTCCGAGCACCAAGAACTGCCTTCTCAGCTTTGAAAATGAGTACAAGTACTTCCAAGTAGAAGTACAGGTCACCGAGTATGAGTACAAGTACAAGTACAAGTACCAGTATGAGAACAGACGACATATTTCGTGATTTTTGTCACGAACAAGTTACAACTTGGGTACAAAAGTGCCACAAATTCTTCACAGGCCGACAATTTTTTTACTAATGAGGTCTTCCAAACGGGTAAAGCCATAAGCAGAGCCAGTCTTCTATACACGCTGATATGTAAAAAAAAACACACACACACCAGTGCCACCCACATGCTACCTAAGCGGTTAGTCCGCTATCAATGCCTTAAAACTAGCAAATAAAAGTAATATTTTGCTCAGCTTGTTTCACGAGATGTATGCATGTGCTCCCATTTTCTCACGGATGATGCTGCACATGCACACTACCCCCATGGGCTAGTTTCATGATTGCTACATAAAGCACACCCGTAGTAGACCAGCGCATGGGAAATGTGTGCAATAGTCTATGATGTATGCTATTTAACCTGTGCATGAAACCTAATGCGTTCTTGGCAAACAGCAAAACTAGCGGCTGACACGTGATGGTGAATTGACCACTGAAAAATTGGCCGTTGATTATGAATATGTATGAGTATAGAATACAAATGATACAGTACCTTTGCTGCAGCAGAATCTCTCATATAGTAGCGTAGAAGATCAGAAAGTTTAAGGTCTTCATCTGACGCCACCCTTGTCTCAAGTTTCTAGTTGATCAAATAGAAATCGCATCCATAATTATGCATATATGTTTTCACGACAAGGCATAAAAAATGACAGGTTGAACGGCCAAACAAATTTTGTACAAATGTACAAATTTAGTTTTACTGTCATGTTAGTGACATGACATCACTTCTATTTACTCCAACCATGCAAACAGGTTAGGCAGGTTTATCAACCCTAACCCTACCTCCTGCAGGATGATTCACAGGAATTGGGTATGACTGATGAAGGTAGAGACATGGCGTTGGGGCTTGAGAAACCTGCAAACTTTTCTTCCACAGTAGTGTGGCAGGAGCTATAGATCTCTCTTTAATGTCACTCCCTACACATTGCCACATGCATCTGCATTTTGGGCGTCAAATTTTCGTGATGCGCATCAGCTGTGCCAAATTGCGAAGGAATTTCTTGCAACATGCGCTGTGTTTAGAAAAATTGTACACACTGCGTGTACACGCACCTGATGGTGTTGAATACGCAGTTGTAATTTTCCTACGAAGATGGCTGTCTATGAGAGGGGTCTGTTTCCCCTTACCAGCAGGTTCCATTTGCTATTAATTTTCAAAATAGCACCATCCTCTTGTTAAGGACCACATTCTTTAGTCTTGTTGGCAGACGTTTTGTTCACTGACGGGACTGTACATCCCGGTGTACCCTCAGACTGTAATATAGCAGGGAGATAAGCAGTATTCTGGTCCCACCTGCCTGGTAACGTGGCTCCCCAACTGAGTTGTGAAACATCTGACAGTATCACAACGGAGAGTTGCGTCACCTGGAAACTGAGCCCTTCATCAGGTTGTTTGAATCAACCCATCAATCCAGGTACAGCCATAGAACTGTCATCACCACATGCTGGTCACCACATGTACTAAGTAATAACTTGGATTGAAGAGAAGGGGGGGGGGGGCTGGTACCATCTGTCGATGGGGGCGCTGTTAAAATCCGACAATTATGCACACAAAGGGCCAATACATATATAGGGCCAATATATAATTTGTTATGAGTGTCCGGGGCGGGGGGGGGGGGGGGTTCGCATTATTTTTAATGTATTTCTATGAAAAACAAACAAAAATTTGACAGGGCTTGTGTTTTTTTTCTAACCACCCCCCCACCCCACCCCGGATCCACGCCTGCACAGAAGGGCCTTATGATGGAAGAAACTTGAAAAATATTGCTGCACAGAAGCAGCCATTGGAAAAATATACATGGATACAAGGGAAGCAATAGATCATTGTTATTGCAATCTTGCTATAAAACGATATATTGCTCTTAAGCAAGAAGTCAACATTTTCTTAAGCATAGGTCCTATGATAGTATCTGTAGAATAAGCTGGTAGGCTGATAGTTGGAAGAAATGGATTTCTATCAAACAAATACCAACTTTCAAATGGGGGCAGAATCCAACAAAAACTGGTTGAAAAGTTTTTTAAAAATACTGCAAGTGAGACTTGCCCAATCCCCTTGTCATGCTGGCATTTTTTTTATAAAGTCAGTGTCCGTAACCAAAATCGAAAATGTCTATTGTTTTAGCAAAAGTAACCTTGACGTTTAACTCGTGGGCCCCAAAATCAATAGGCTTGAAAAGACTACCAAGAGCAACCCCAAACAAAATTCAAGTTCATCAGTAAAGTAATTCTTGAGCATTTGTGCTGACATCAGGTTGGTCTGTACATCACCGCTAAGAAAACTGAACTCATGGCATACAACCAAAGTGACATTATCACTTTCAAGTCAAAATCAGGTCACCCATCAAAATTTTCCCCCACAGAAGTGTGGTGGGAGTCTACGAGCGATACTTACCTGTAGAGCCACTACATTTGCATATTCCCCTTACCGGCAGGTTCCATTCGCTAAGAGTTTATACAACAGCACCCTCTATAATGCTACCCACACTGCCCTGCGCCAGGAGCGCCATGTTGGCTTCCTCTTTTCTTGTGCTCTACAGGATTAAGCTCTTGTTTTTGAACTAGTGGGGAGGAGGGAGGGATGCTCTACAGCTAAGTATCGCTCGTAGACTCCCACCACACTTCTGTGGGGGGGGGGAAGTCTACTTCACTCACTTACCTGTAGAGCCACTACATTTGCATAGAGTAGCACCGCCTTAAGGCGGTGGGCAGTGAGATATGTGTATTGTAAGTTCTAGTTTAATTAGTATGGAAGTATATATATAGACAATATAAACTCCCTTAGGAATGAGATCCGGAATGGGACCGTTCGAGAACCGGGCGAGCTCGGCCCGCCCAGTAAGCTGCCGCCCGCTTCGAACACTGTACCCGCCCGGTTACTCAAGCGTGACGCTCGGTTGACTGCTGGAGTGACCCTCTGGGTCACAACAATAGCTGCTATCAACGGATTAGTGGTTATTGTTCGAGGATTACAGCGCCCAACTCAGGTTGGGTTGGTGTGGAAGACCCTGGCTATCATTATATTTTTTTGTGGAATTTTATTCTTTTCTAGCTTCATAGAATGCAAGTGTTTTGTTTTTGCATGAAATCATTTGACAAATAAACTTGATACAACTGCCTAGTTTGCAAAGTTCTATATATGAACAATGGTTAAAAGCTAGATGATCAAGGTGTGAATTTTTTTCTTTGAATTTTTCGAAATACGATGTTCGATATCTATATTCTCGGATTTGATCAAATGTACGAAATACCTTATTCTGTATTGAAATAAAGTATTCCCCTACGACCAACATGAATTGTTTTGAGTGTGGTAATAATTTGATGTTTTTTAATTTTAGACTACGACACCGCACTTGCCCATTATTCATGTTAATTCATACGCATTTTAAACAGAAAAGTCTGATACCCGTTTGAGAATAGAAGCGGGCGGGCTTGGCCCCCGATCGGTATGAAGTGGCCCACTCGGTAGCCCCGATCGGTAGGAATTCTGGGCACTCTTTTATTCAAGCGTGACGCTCGAGAAGCGGGTGGGAATGACCCACTCTGTAACTCCCGATCGGTATGAACACTCGGTTATTCAAGCGTGAGCTTGGTTGACTGGAGTGGCTCTCTTGGTCGCTATCAACGGATTAGTGCTTATTGTTCGAGGATTACAGCGCCCAACTCAGGTTGGGTTGGTGTGAAAGACACTGGCTATCATTACATTTTGTGTGGAATTTTATTCTTTTCTAGCTTCATAGAATGCAAGAGTTTTGTTTTTGCATGAAATCATTTGACAAATAAACTCGATACAACTGCCGAGATTGCAAAGTTCTATATTGGAACAATGGTGTGATTTTTTTTCTTTGAATTTGTCGAAATACGATGTTCGATACCTATATTGTCGGATATGATCAAATGTACGAAGTACCTCATTCTGTATTATTTGAAATAAAGAATTCCCCATATGACGAACATGAATTGTTTTGAATGTGGTAATAATTTGATGTTTTGAATTTTAGACTACGACACCGCACTTGCCCATTATTCACGTTAATTCATACGCATTTTAAACAGAAAAGTCTGATACCCGTTTGAGAATAGAAGCGGATGAGCTTGGCCCCCGATCGGTATGAAGTGGCCCACTCGGTAGCCCCGATCGGTATGCATACTGGGCACTCTTTTATTCAAGGATGACGCTCGAGAAGCGGGTGGGAATGACCCACTCTGTAGCTCCCGATCGGTATGAACGCTCGGTTATTCAAGCGTGAGCTTGGTTGACTGGAGTGGCTCTCTTGGTCACTTGCAACGGATTAGTGTTTATTGTTCGAGGATTACAGCACCTGGCCAACTTGCAGTTGGTTCGCCCTGGCTATGATTATCTGCAGAATTTTCTTTGCTATAGAGTATAGAATTGCAGTATTTTCTTTGCATGAACACGTGTAAATGTAGGCCTATATGGGTTTTACTGATTGCTTGACGTACAACGTATTATTTTTTCCCCTTTGTTTTAAGGTTTAAGTTTTTCTGTTGACCCAAAAACTTCATTCACTTTAAATCCTGAAACCAGATTTTTATGTGTACATTTTTTGTTCACCCTGAGACTCATTTCAATTAATAGTTGGAATATTTTTTCTAACTATTCTAATTTCTATCTAGAAAATATGCAAGATAAGACATTGCAAAATTGTACGTGAACACATACATTCTAATATAGTCAAACCATTGAGCTGTGAAAGCAACTTGTGAATGACTACTGCATGGACCACGTTTCCGCCCGTCATCCGTGTACGGAACCCGGTGTCATACGAAAATCGGACTCATATGGAAATCGGACTCTTTTCCCCCTTTTATTGGTTAAACCCTCTCACGTGACCGGTCCATCTCCTAATTATCTATGCAAGAGCATGCGCAATACCTCCAATGAGTCCGTACTTCATACAACCTAAATTCATGCTACACCGGCGTCAAGCGAGCGCAGAGCAAACCTTCTTTGTCATTCATTGAACGATCTCCCTCATGTCTTAATATCGAATACATACAGCCCAACGGGGTATATGTAACTGAAGGAACAGCCATTTGTACTGCTTTGTTGCAACGCCGGGACTGGGTGTCAGACAGAAAGTGTGATACACGCTGTAAACATAATAGTCTGATACCCTTTCACTATACTTTGTGATAAACGGAACTCTAATGTCGCAGCGAGCACATTAACTTTAATGCACGTAAATAGAACAAACTGGGGAATTCTGATCTTAATACTGAACAAAATACCAACCCTGTTTGCTTTAAAAGTCAGATTCAGGGATTCATCGGTGCATGTCCGTATACATTTGTATACATTTAAGGGGAGAAAAATGTATCACGTGACTAATTGAAACCGTTGTTAACTGATCGCTCAAGCTTTTCAATAGGCCTGCACGAGGGCAATGGGTCACCAACAATAGCAGTCCATGGCAGGGATTACCAGCGGCGCGCCCTTTGATTTGCCGGGTCTTTGTTACCCGGCAGTGAGGATTATCGCCTTGCAAATTGCTTCTTTTGTTCAGGTTCAGGAGAGGGCCCACCAGTCAGACTTGTACTTCGTTCTCTTAATCCGAGCTCGCCCACTTTGGAGAGGAGTCC